TGGTTTTAACCTTTACGGTTTTACTTCCATAGTTTTTGTTTTATACTTTTGCATTTTACGGTTTTCATACTGTAGTTTTTTACTTCATGGTTCTTCTATACGGTTTTCTTTCGATGGTTATGGTTTTACGGTTTTTTTGACGGTTTATTTTTTCACCGTGTATATAAAATCGGCTAAGCTAAGAATCATAATTACAAAAGATCTGATTCAAAGAATGACTTCAGTACGTGCTCTTATAACATTATGTAAGTGATTCCATTCATGTACAAAACGAGAGAAAAAAGAAAGTTCATATCTTTTTGATCCCACTATCCATTTCAAAAAAGAAGGCCAGTCACTGTATGTCTAATAACTTTGCACTGGAAGATGCTGGAGACCTGCGGTTTTCGTTATCTGAAACTAAAATCTTGGGGCAACAAGAAAATAACAGAAAAAGTTTTTTCTAGTACTTTCAGGTGGTGTACCTTGCGTGGACATTTTGTAAGAGTTTCGCTATATCTCGTGCTCCAGGAGTTATCAAGGTTTTCCGCGGACATGCCTATCTTTGTCCGGACGCGGTGGAGAACCTGGAAAGTGTTGAGACATAGGTAATCGAGTGTGTTGATTATCGTGGCAGTGTTTGTGTTGAGGTTCTCTAGGAGGCTTCCAGAAAACCCCGGGTTTAAAGCTTTATTAATTAAACTTTTTACGATTCAATCCGTTTCAATAACGTGGTTAGAGTATTTTCTGAAAATTCTAAACAAACTAGTATTTTAGTTTTATCTGTCAGATGCTTATAGCCTGAAACCAAGCACGCAAATTTATACTGAAGAATGAATAGAGAATTCAAGCTAGCCTTATATGTGGAAAAATAAACAACTCATATCTACATTAATATAGTAAAGGCATAAGTTTCGTACATTTAATCTAAAACTGAAGTTTGGAAAGTATTTTTACGTTGACACATCAAAAACAAAATCTTGCTACATCTACTATCTGCATAAGTGATATGTTTATGCCAGTAAAGTGTTGATGTTAAAAAGAGACCACGATATTTGTGACATTTCACATCAATTCAGATGTCTTGTCGAATGTAAATATATATTTGCTTGACAATTGAGAAAATTTGTATGACCCTAGACTTTTAGTCAAGGGAAAAAGCAAATCCAACCGTCGTTCATTGAAGATCACATCGTACGAAGTTGGTACCAGCAGATAAAATGTGCAAAATATAATTTCCGGTTATATAAAATTTAAGATTCAAGCCTTAGCACGAGTATATGACTAATCGATTATGAAACTGATGACACCTGTTTTGTTTGTGTAAGAGATGAGGAACAGAACATTATCCTCCATCTTCCATCTATTTATTATTTTCATAGCAGAGAGAGAAATGCACAAATATGTTAGTTGTATACAATAATTTTGAAGGATAGTTTTTTGATCGACTATACGCTAAAGCAGATATTATTCAAGATAATGTTTATTGTCACATCAAATAACATGCACATATGCGAAATAGGATTTCGAGCACTTTGCCATCTAGGGAATTTTTAAAACATAAACGAGAAATATGAAAAACTCATAAATGAAAATATCTGTATAGTAATTGGATCTTCAACTTCTATCGATATTTCAGCATGTTTAAGAAATACATTGCTACAATATTCACATCATAATATGCGTTCAAATGCTGATAAACGTTCACGTCAAACTCCTTCATATTTGTACGTCTTAACAATCTAGCATTCTAGCCTAATATATCGCTGTTTTTCTTAAAAGAGAAAATACTGTCTTTTATATACGATCAAAAAACTTGAAAATCCATGTTACTGATTAAACGTTTTCTGAAAAATCTTTGAAAACCATAGGAATTTTGAGTATTTTTTTTGTGGGTTTGTTATAAGCAGGATATAGAACAGCCTAAATGCCGTACATTCTGATGTTTTCAACTCCTTCTCATGCTTTTGACTCAGGTGAAAACAGCATGGACACTCCATTTTGGCCTGATTCTTGAATTCTTTTCCAAAAAGAAGCATTGTCATCAGATTCAGCGTAGTCGATTAAGTCAGTTCTAGGCGATTTCAAGATCACCCAAAATTATCTGATACCATTCCTCGGGCTCCAAGGAAGCCCGATACGACGCACGAACCACTGAAAATCAAGGTCTCGTCTATCTCACTGTGTATTATCAAATTCTCTAGTTCTTTTTGTTCTCGAGTTATTCAACAAACAGCCACAGGCCTCATAATTGAAAAAGATAGTAGAAATTTCAGTAGAAAAAAGAGAAAATGTTCGTCTGACTTTTTAAATTTTTCTGATAGAAATATTCATCCAAGAACATGTTCGGAAATCTTTTGAATATTCTTTTGAAAAAAAGTTTTTGTTTTATTACATTACTGAAAAGGTTCAGCTAATTCAAAATTGCAGCGGAATCTTTTTTTGCCTTTATTGTATAGCCTTTGGTCAAAGTCCTTGACGTCGTACGAAAAATTTGAGAAACAAAGTGAATGACCTTCATTGAACTGGTGACGAAAAATGCTAATTAAGAAATATAATAAGAATAATTTTTTCAAGGAGATCAGGAGCAATTTTTGAAGGTCAGAAGCGTTGGGAAGTGAATAGGGAAATATTTCTGGTCATTTTTACTCAAAATTATATTGGACCATTTTCTAGCAAAAATCGTTTCTCCTCCTTTCCAGACATTTATTAGGCATATAGATTTCGCCGATAAGCTTTCTTCGTGTGAAAATTCATTCATGAATGTTAAGCAAAGTGAACCGAAAAAAACACTCGCGTGATCGAAAAACCATAAAGACTTTTTGATCATATACCTTATTAACCGAAGAATTTCAAGGCTCAGCAGACTCCGATCCAGGCGGGGTACAAGTTTTAAACAATACCAGGGGATTTTATTATTTCGAGAAAAAGTGCATGCTAAACTTCCCAATACCCATTAATACGAAAAAGGGCACAAAATCTGACAAACGTTTAGAAAAATAATTACAAGAAAACAAAATACTTTTCTAAGAAGCATTTACTGCTAACTCTGTTTTGTATTGAACTTAACAGGTTCGCCTCCAGTTGTCTGTATAAGTTGTATGTAATCTTTCTTCTTTCTTACTTCTTACATGCCTGCAAACACTGTGGATTAACCGAAAAAACTTGATTATCAATAATTGTTTTCTTCATTTTTTGATATTCAGCACCTGTTATACCACCAAATGCAGCACGTGTAATATGTTCGGGTAAAGTATAGAGAAATAAGGATGGCAGAAGACTTACACCAAAATCATTACTATTTAATGTGGACAAGACTGATGCTGATGTACAATTAAGATTTTCAATATAACTAAGTGCACCTTTAGGAATTATCATACCCATACCGGAAGACAATATATTTTCAATTAGTTTACCACGTGTTTGAACGACGAAACCTTTTCGAAAAAAAACAAAAAAAACTTGTTAGATCTCTTACTCTAATATTCACACAGCCATTCTTACTTACCAATTCGTACATGACCTTCTAAGACATAGGTGATTGCATCACTACGAAAGGTAAGTGGTTGTCTAATTGCACATTTTTTCAGTTGAAGTCTTATGCTACCGAGTTCTGTATTCAGGAGGCCGGGAACAAATGGCAGCTGAAATAATGTTACGCTACCATGCTGCTGTTGAATATGTTGACCAGGTTTATCTGTTGCTGAAGGATCAAAATAAATTAGATAATCTTCAGGAGTAAAATAGGCATCACGTTGTAAATATGTGTCTGTTACAAGAATTGCTTGTGTGGCATTTTGATTTACTGTTGCACCATTTATTCCAACGTTCTGTTTGTAGAGGAAGAGTATTGTCAACTGCAATATTAGAGCAGGAACAGACTTCTGCATTGTGTTTGTTTAAAATTCGTCAGTGTGCGCTTGTGCTAGAAGAGACAAAGATAAAAAATACAAATTCTAAAGTGGGTATTACGCTGCATATTTTCTACATATAGCTCAGTAATTAAATTCAAAGTCAAATACTTGAACAGCTGTCGTTTTGCCCTTTCAAGTAGTAAAAGTATGTTCCGAATGACGCAGCAATGGTGTTGTTCTTCTCTTGATTATATGATTTTCGTTTGAATCACTCTGTGACGGATAGAGATGTCGACCACGTAGCTCAATGGTTAGAACATAGACACGGAATATCAAAGTTCTGGGTTCGAATCCTAGTCTGGTCACACATTTTTCCTTCACACACTCCCCAAAATTGACTAAGCAAAACAAACCTGCTTGTTTCTCTTCAATTAGCTTTTTCCAAATCCAAGAAGGTTGTCACTATGAAAACAATGCAATAAAACACAATAAAACCTCTTCTTACCTTGCCGTGTTCAAATTAAATGGATGAATGAATGAATAAAGATAATATAAGTACTCAACAATTAACAGGCAAAAGAAAACAAAGGTGACCATGAGAATCTATCCACCTATCAATTTACTTATGAATAACAATATAAAAAATACGAGGAAAAGTATAAAATACAACAAACAAATTAACGTTGAAAACTCGTTCTTACTTTAACAAAAAGCACGTGATAATTTATCATGTGCTTTTATTGTTTTCTCTTATATTTATCACTGATAAATATAAGAGGACATAAAGAAGAACGGGACTCGATAAGAGGCAAAATCCGCCTCGTCTCAGATCAGTCTCGTATTCACAGGTCTGATGTAGTTTTTCGCCGTGATTAAAACTAGCACCTTAAAAAGTCATTTTCACCCTCACTTGAAAAATTTTCGCATCCAAACTTTTCTCCCCTTAAATGAACTTTACTTAGAGTATCTTCCCCGTTTCTTCCCTTTGCTCAAAGCAAACCTCAACTACTGTGTACCATTCGACAGAGAATTTCACGAGTTACAAAATGATATATAAAATATTCGGAAAAAGCTGTAACTAGACTTACACCACTTTTTCCTTTTCTTCTTTTTTGTATACGTGGCCTCACGCACGTGTAGGTCACGATGCTACGTATTTATTTCTGAATGGGTAATCGTAATAGTCAAAGACAAAAGAGTCGTAATGATAATTATGATAAAAATAGAACAAATTTATTGGGTAACAATGATTTAAATGATTCTGATAATGAAAATTACCCGAACGAAGATGAACAAACAGTGATTTCTAGTTCAAATGATCGTGTGTATACTGATTTATCGAATATCAGGCCTACCCTAGACAAGAATTTTTTGCTAAAACTGATAGGATTCTTATAAGAATCTTATCAGTTTCTTATATAAGATTGTTTAAGATTTCCCATCGACAGTCGTAAGTGTCTTATAAGAATCTTATAAGATTTTCATAAGAGGCTCGTAAGAAAAACATAAGAAGGACCAAAAATTCTTATGTTGTTAATATGTACTAGAAGGCATCTTATGAGTCGGCTTTTACGATTTCTGTTATGATTAAGTTACTTCTACTTGCTCTCAAATCTTTTGGGCTAGTAAGTGGCCGTAACGGTCATTTATTCTGATGACTTGTGAGTCGTATTCACAGAACTGTTATTTTTAAAAATATAAAACTTTTACTAGGATGTATTAACTAGTTAATCGGGCAATATTTTTACGCGTAACTTACATTCCTATCTAAAATAACTTGATATAATAACACAAACAGAGTAAGCACTTATAGCCTAACGGTTAAGATAAGCTGAATGGAAGATTACGAGTTCGATCCTCGTTAAGTGCGATTTATCTTTTTATGAACCTCGTATGAAAATCTTATCTGATTCTTATAAGACACTTACGACTGTCGATGGAAATCTTAAACAATCTTATATAAGATACTGATAAGAGACTTATAGGTTTCTGGTAAGATTCTTATATAAGAATCGATCTCTAGGGTAGTACCATCAATGGACATAATGCAATACTGGATGGTCGTTATCAACACTACAATAATGATTTCCTTCATAATCAGCAGCAACAGTTTATGCAGCATCAATATAATGATTATTATAGTCACCAGCAATTTTATCACCAACCCCAAGTCGATTATACAAAGCAGGGTAGATCTAATTATCTCCCACAATTGGCTGTTCAATCTAACCGTACCCAAGCAGTTAAGATACCTAATCTAACTGCCACACAATCTTCGATACGGACAATGAATCATGGTTTGATAAACAATCCGATTAATGATCAAAACGTAGCACGTTTTACTCAACAAAATTCTTGTCCTAATACACCTAATAGTGCTTCAACGCCAAAAAGACAAATTGAAAATGAACAATATAAGAGTAACTTAAATAAACGTCCAAAGGCAACGTTAAACCGTCAATACCTTAGTAATAATAACCAATATAGTGTACCATTTGCACATTTAAAACGTGCAGACACCGTTCCCTGCTTTATTATACAATTTGATTCAAATATTTCACCAAGCGAATTACCTTCAAGTGTAATAGCTAGTGATTTAATTCATGAAAATCTTATTCAAAATGGTGTCAGAATTAATCCTTTTTCAGTTGCTGTATTAACTGGAAAATATGAATTAAAGTTAGGTGTTAATAATAAAGAAGATTATTCTACCTTAATATTAACGGGTAAATGTTAGTAATAAAAGAATTACAGTTGTTAAACCTAAATTTGTACTTGAGTGCTTTACATTAGTTATTCGGTATGTACCAATCACTTTTAATCTGGAGCAAGTTAAAGAGGAAATAAAACGTTCTATTAAATCTACTGATCACTTTAATGAAATTATCTATTCCTACGAACGGCCTACAAGGGATTACCGTTTTACAGTAGCCGATTTGAGAGAATATAACGTGACATTACAGCTAGGTCGTATTACAGTAGGTAACCGGTTACTACCTATCACAACACACAAAGCAGCAAACAAAATGACATATTGTACTAAATGTTGGGGTTTGGGCCATTTAAGAGATGTATGTACAATACTAACTCAAAGATGTCGAATATGTTTAGGTAATTTTGGTCCAAATCATCAGTGCTCTAATGTTCTAAAATGTGCTAATTGTCAGCTGAAGCATCACTCACTAGATCCAAGTGCGGTGTTATTATCGTACAGAATTAAATAAAGCTGTTAATATGGCAATTTGTGAAGGTAAATTACACCGTCGTGAAAAATCACAACAACAGGATCAACCGATTACATTTCGTTATAACAGTAATGATTTCCCAGTAATGACTACTGATAAAATCAAGTATAATCCATGGAATATACAGAATAATAATAGTGATCAACAGAACATAATGAACTATTTACAGCAAATGAATCATGACATTAAGCAAAATTTTAAACAAATTAACGATAAATTAAATATTCAACAGCAAGTGATTGAAATTAACACAACAAATACTTATTTGAATAAAATAGTGATACAATCTACTCTGTCAACGTTATCCAAAATGATGAATAAAGTGATTAAACCCCTCATTAGCCTAATACAAGAGGAACGAGACAAAGAAAGTGTTTTAATGGCTTTGGACGATTATGATCATGACTTACTCAAACAGCATTGTTGCACCTAGCGAATTACAGAAGATTTTAGCAGTGTAGATCCACGGAAATTAGTGATTCAGCAGCAATCAACGCGTATCATAACTACATTAAATAATCCCAATGATAACATTAATAATAACAAAGATGATGATGACGATAGTCAATTGGTTGACTATAATAAGTGAGAACCACTATGTAAATGAACCCAAACGCTTCAGGTTTTGTCAGTGTAGCAGTAGAAGCGCAACTGATGAACGCTCGTAAGAGAATGACATATTGTAATTTCCCAGACTCAGTGATAGGAAGGATTTGTATTTATTTGTATGAGTGGTTTTCTCGTTTGTCTCTAGACTCTCTTTTGGATAACTGGGAACGATATGACGTAATACCAGGTAATTTGATGAATAGGCACCTAACAATACCAGTAAAGTTTTGTCTGTACAATGTGGAAGGATGGAAAACCCGGGCTTTAGAAGTTTTAGGCCTGATCCATAAACTAGACGCTTCGCTGTGCGTTTTTGCTAAGGTCAGATCCCTGTGGGATAGCTTTAAACTTCGCGATTTTAACATTTTTCATCAGCATGGTACAAACCACAGTGGTGGAGTATGTGTTGCAATAGCAAAGCATCTTAAGGCAGTTAAAGTAGAAATCAATTTACCAAATACAGTTATAGTAGATGTAGAAGGTTTTTCGGAATCGATAAGAAAAGCGGTATATATTGGCCAAAATGCCAGAAAAGAGATCTAAATGATTTAAAACCTTTTCTTATTAAAAATACTATTCTATCAGAGGATTTTAATGCCTCAGTTGTACAGTGGGGTAGCCCGCTGACAGACAAGCGTGGCGCAATTTTAGAGGATTGGATAAGTAAAACTAATTTAATATATATTAAAAATTCTTTTAGTTCTTCTAAACGTTCTTTGCGTAATATCGATTTAACTTTCTCTGACACAATGACTTTTAGAGATAAAACAGTAGATCTCGGTACTAGTGATCACTGGCCTATTGTTTATTCAATAGACGCTCTTTGTTTTCCGCATGTAAACTGGAAGGATTATGAAACATTATTATATCTATTGCAAGATTTTTGGTTAGAGAGATAAAAAGAAGTGTCATTAGACGAATGATATAAGGATTATATCCGTTTTTTGTCTGCGCTTAGGAGTCGTGTAACTCAATGGAAGGATAAATAAAAATATAGGCCATCTCTACCGAGCCATATATTAGTAAAATTTAAAGAATTAAGGAGAGCAAGAAATATGTATTATCGTAAGAAAAAACTTAGTTTAGGTACTGAAGAGCGAGATATAAGTCATGTAGATGGAATAGTTTTTTATCTTTCATACAAAATAAGTATGTTAATAAAGATAACGTTTTTTGGACATTTCTGTCAAGAATATATAGGCCAAAAGCATTACCTCTTTCTAAGTTAGTAGTAAAAAATAAAATAATTATCGATGGCCAACAAATAACAGAGGAACTGTATAAGTACTATGAGAGTCAGTTTCAGCCACCGGCTCTGGATCCAACGGATCCGCACGATTTCGAAATAGAAAACGAGTATTTTGAAATTATCAATAAATTATCGGTAAATTGTAATGGAGTTTTATCTACTGGTATAAATGAAATAAGTAGACTCATGAAAAAGTTAAAACCAAAAAAATCATCGGGATTAGACTCGGTTTCAAACTATATGATCAAGCTTCTCCCACCTACGTACACTGAAGGTTTAAATTCGTGTTTTAATACTTGGTTGAGAGAATGTAGATATCCAGATGGTTGGAAAATAGCCAAGTTCGTTATACTAAATAAATTAAAAGCAGGAACACCTACATGTGATCAGACTCGGCCGATATCTTTGTTAGCTACACATTCAAAAAGTTTTGAGAAGATCGTGTTAGAAAGAGTGAAAAATTGGGCAGATGCAAATCACATTATTCCGGACGAACAATCAGATTTTAGGCCGAACTGTTTACTGCCGACTCGAGTATTATCAATATTTCAAGAAGTCGAGAATAATTTCGCTGCTAATATTCCCACGTTAGCTATATACGTGGATTATCAAAAAGCCTATGACAATGTATGGCATATGGCTCTTATTGTAAAACTATTTAGATTAGGAATGCCATTAGGGCTGTTAAAAATTGTTCATTCCTAGTTAAGCGATAGAAAACCGTATGTAATCTTAGGCGATATGAGATCTAAGGCTTCTTATTTATACATAGATTTGCCACAGGGTAGTAGGCTGAGTCCGTTTCTATTCGTTGTTTTTCATAGCGATCTGATCTCTTGTATAGGCGCGCATGCAGGACATGTTTTAGCCGATGATCTGAATGTCTTAATAACTCCACCGATAAATAAGAAATTAAAACCAATATTAGAATATTTAGAAAAATAAGGAACAAAAGTGTGTAATGAGTTAGCGCGCTATTCCAAACGTTGGAAACAGCCAATAAATGTCGCAAAAACAGTAATACAGCCTTTTCATACGCAGGTCACACGTCCTCACATAAATATTTTCATGAATAATAAACGATTAGAACAAGTTAAAGCCTTCAAGTATTTGGGTTTTACTTGGACAGAAAAATTATCGCTGAGATATACTGTAAGCAATTGTTTAGAAAATGTACACAGATCCTATGAGAAACTCAAGTGGTTAAAAAATAACCGGGAAGTCCACTGATGTACTGCGGCTTTGTTTCTTTGCATACTCATTTCCGTATTTCGCTTGGATGTTTCCGTTTTTTCCTTTCCTCCCTCACTCACAGAAGGATTTATTTCTTAGAAAATTCAGAGTTGGTATTCGCCTTATACACCGATGCCATCTCGTTTCCAGTAAAAATCTATTCTCATTTACAAAAGAAAATGATCTAATGTTTTATGTAAAAAGGCTGGATAGTATGTATAAATCTAACCTCGTTTTCTCACTTTTCTATAATGATGTTTTTTATTGGAACAATTTTAAAAAGAGAAAAAAAGATGGAATGGGCCACTTTTTTCAGCAAAAACGAGTAAAAAATAAAATTGAAAAAGATGAATCTTTCTTTACTGATGAAATGGCTGAACTTTATTGGATAAAGATAAATTTTTTTTTCTTTTCCTTACTGTTTCCCTTGTGTTTATTTTTGCCTAAATTTATCCCTGTAAACCGTTCTAGTACATATGTTAATGATGTCCTCTGCTGGTGAGAAAAGAAAGTGTCTTTTTATATTTTATTAATTTTACGTAACTAAAATGTTGTAATGGGTTCAACTATATCTTTTTTCTTTGGTTCCTTTTGTTTGCAAGCGCTTTCGAGTGTGGCAATAAAGCATAATCAAAAAAGAAATCATGATTATACGGAACACGGTGTTGGATGGTGAGAGTGGTTCCTTCCTGATATTTGTCAGAATATCTGAACATCAAGGTATTTCATAACTGCAGATCTACAGAGATCACAGCGGTCTTTTTTGGATGCAGTTTCTGCCGTAATTGCATCATGTTTTACTCTGACTTTTCATCGAGAAGAATCTCTAAAGGATAAAAAGGATAAAGCCCCCCAGCTATTGGGATAGCTCTGTCAGATTAGTCAAGAGGAGAGAAAAAGAAAACTAATAAAAATAAACTTGATGAGAACTAAATAGCAATTGCTGGAAAAAAAACAATAAGACTTTCGCCTTAAATAGGGTGATTTACACTTTAACTGAAAAGATTGTCACTTTGCATCTCTCAGCGTGTTACAGAAAAATCTCTTGACTAAAAGTCTCTTGTTTTTATCTCCATATTTGAATACGTCTTTTGTTTATTTCTGAAATAAGATGAATGTAGCAACCAACAAGCTGGTTATGGACTGTTTCCACTCCCTCGTCTTCAAACGGGACATCAATGTGATTTAAATGTTTCATGGACATGATTAATTGGCAAATATTGACTATTTTGAATAATGTTATGTTATAACTTTGATATTGAATAGTAAAACGATGGAGATTCGGAAAATAAATGGCGAGATTTTTTATGTGTTCGGCAGGAAAGTCGGTTAAGACGAGTTCTTTAAGATTTTTGAACTGCGGATGAAATCTTGCGTCATTAAACTCGTTTGTTATACAAGACATTGAACCATAATTCATTTCCAATCTCTTCAAGTTAGGTGCGAATAGTAATAAGCATTTTCTGAACATCGTCCAACTTACATCAGTCAATATTGCTTTCATACTAAATTTGAGTATACGAATAGATTTAAACTGCAAATTTGTCTTGTTCAGCTCCTCTGCCAGCCAATGAACACTCGTACTGGAGTCATCTTCTAGTTCAGTTACATCAAGTACAATTATGTTTGTGAACAGATTTTCTAGTAGACTGAACAGTGAGAGCGACAATGGAGCAAACATAGTTAGTTTCTTCAGCGTTTTGTAGTGTTCAGGAATCAACGCTTGGTCAGTATTAAGTTGTCGACTCAGAAACCCGTGTGACATGCCACTAACTGATTCGAAACAAAACGGTAGTGTGTAAAGGCAGTAAAGCCTCAACTGCTCGTTATAATGACAACCTATTAACCATTGTTTCCAAAATGTACTTCTAAACGTTGAAAGCATTTTCGGTACGGATAAAACTTTATCATCATCACGCACACCTACTGCATAACGGAAATCAGTTAGTTCTGTAAGATGTGATAAAACATCTCGTTCCAAAAATTGTCCATCGATCAAGCGGGTATTATTCCTCAGCGAAAATTCAAGCAGCAATTGTCGCAGTTTGACTGGTAACTGTCGGAGCAAATCGACGAGAATTGTTTCATTGTCGAGCACATAATTTATCATCGTCAATGAAAAATTGATTAAATACGGGATTTTGTCGGACAAGCTTATGAATTGACATTGGTTGACAATCTCTTCTGGGCAACTGTTATTAGGAAATGTGGCGTGCATTATGTGAATATGAGGTAAATTATCGAACAACACCATCAGTTCGCGAAATGTGTTCAACGTAATGATTAATTTTGTAATTTTACAGGGACGAATATGTTTGTTTATGTAAAACCAGTTGATGCTCAATGTATGTAGTGAACTATAATGAGAAAATAAATGTTTACATAAATTGATTTTGTGACGGACAGATTCATCCTGTTGAATAATATCGAGTTTTAGTTCACGTAAGGATCCAAGTTGAGTTATTAAATATGATTCAATATCAGTAATATTAACTTTTAATAGCGTTAACGACTTTAAGCATGAGCAGACGGAGAGGATTGTTATTTGTGGATAACAATGTTCATTGCCTAGTTTCAACTGTTTCACCCAGTGGCCAATTTGGGGCAACATAATATCGTGATAATATTTGAATGTTTTAAACGACACATTCCTCAGATCAACAGAGTCAAAATAATACGTTAATAACGAATTAAAACGCTGATTTAAATTAAAAAATAATGAAAATATGTCAATCGAGTCCAGATAACTGAATATAATGAGTAAAATCTCATTTGGACAACTAGATTCAAAGTTAGAAGCCATCAATTGCATTTACAGTTCAAACTTGTTTTTTCTTCATTTTACACTGTAAAGAACTGATGAAAATAAAGATACACAACATTATTCACATGTCCGTGTAAAAACGTTTTCCCTTTCTCTTCCTTTCGATAAGAATTCATGAATCAGTACAGAAAATTCAGAACACAACACAGTTTTACATCGGAAGTATATTACAAACAAACACGATTCTTTCTGTTCCTTTCAAAGTGAAAGGAGTGATTGTTCATATAATTATCGTACATGGGGCGACTTCGGGGACCAAGATACAATGTGTGACTAAAATATACGAATATATAGTAGAACTCCTGTAGTCATCGAAAAGTTATTATTATTATTACAAAATATTATTTTAATACTTTTGGTATTATTAACTAACGAGACTACCACTGAAATCGCGTTGGCTTCGATAATGCCCTATGTACTTGTTTCATGAATATTATACTTCTTTCTTTTTCAGTTGTATGAGGTCAACAAACATTGTTTTAAAAAATTTTATTTTAAAATTCGAACTTTTGAGTTACAATTTTTGGAGAACGTCGAAACATAACATAAATTCGTGGAGAGTTGCGCAACCTCACAAAAAAGATTCAAAGTTCTTCAAAACTGGATTTAAGCAAATTCTTGAAATGTTTTCATTCGGACGATATATCAAGATAATTGGAAGTTACTGTTCTGAAGAAAATCAAGTTGCGAGGTCTCTCTTTTCTTCGCAGTATCGTCCATACGAAGACTTTTCAGGAATTTGCTTAAGACAGGATTCGCCAGCCCGTCGAGAAAGTGCGTAGCGTAACATGCAAAAATTTGACAATATGATTTTTATTTGATTTTCAGATTCTACAATCAAAACTGGGTTAACGAAAAAAATTGTTCACTTGCGGACTTTATTTTGACCGAGTTACAGAGTTTTCAAAATGAGGTACATCGACGAATCGCAAAAATGAGCACTGTCTCATATTTTCGATATAACTCCGCCATTTTTTATCCGTTCTGGTCGAACAATGTCTCATTAAAAATTAAACAAAATTAGGTGTTTGTTCTTTTTCTAGACTCAATACTGATGTTGTAAGAGGTTCATCAGGCAAAGGATTATGATTTTCACATACAAAGTTTTTCTGCCAAAACCCACCCAACCGAATTTTCCTAGAAATATGAAGGTGACATCAGATATCAAAGTCAATTTTTTACAAAGTAAGCTAAAAAACTTTGTTTTAAAATCCCTGGAACAGTTTGAAAAGTTGAAAACAAGACGGCCGACTGACATCGTTTTTTCAGTTTTATTGAAGTGATTAACATAAGAATTGTCTTCGTTATATCTAAAACACGAGAAGGGAACGTAATAAAAATTATCAATACTGATCAAAATCAACGTTTGGATCAGTAGAACAAGAAATTATTAATTTCTGCCTAAGACATACTTTCACAGTTAAACTTATAATTTTTTTCGATTTTTGACTCCGTTTTTCCCTCAGGATGCTTTTGATCGATGGTGGCTTTATGTGAAAAGGTGCATTCATTTGTTTTACAAGTAGAATGAGTGTCGCACAGATAACGAAGAAGACGATAAGAACAAAACAACCAGAGTGCGAATATATTACATATTTTCAGTTTGTCAATAGTTGTTAAAAAGTTGTAGTAAAACAAATTTGGAATT